CTAATAGCCCTATTTTATTAACTATAAAGATAGACTTTTTATTAAAGCTATAGATATATATCCTTAATAGCCCTAATGGCCCTAATGTCCCTAATAGCTTTAATAGCTCTAATAGCCTTGTTTTTTTAACTATAAAGATAGACCTTTTGTTAAAGCTATAGATATATATCTCTAATAGCCCTAATAGCTCTAATAGCCCTAATAGCCCTAATAGCTTTAATAGCTCTAATAGCCCTGTTTTTCTAACTATAAAGATAGACCTTTTATTAAAGCTATAGATATATATCCCTAATAGCCCTAATAGCTCTAATAGCCTTGTTTTTCTAACTAGGAAAATAGACCTTTTATTAAAGCTATAGATATATATCCTTAGTTACCCTAATGTCCTTAATGTCCCTAATAGCCCTAATAGCTTTAATAGCCCTAATGTCCCTAATTTCTATAATGTCCCTAATGGCTTTAATAGCCCTAATAGCCCTAATAGCCCTAATGTCCCTAATTTCTATAATGTCCCTAATAGCCCTAATAGCCCTAATGGCTTTAATAGCCCTAATGTCCCTAATTTCTATAATATCCCTAATAGCTTTAATAGCCCTAATAGCCCTAATGGCCCTTATGTCCCTGATTTCTGTAATATCCCTAATAGCTTTAATAGCCCTAATAGCTTTAATAGCCCTAATAGCCCTAATAGTCCTAATGTCCCTAATTTCTATAATATCCCTAATGGCTTTAATAGCCTTAATGGCCCTAATGTCCTTGATTTCTATAATATTCTTAATAGCTTTAATAGCCCTAATAGCCCTGTTTTTCTAACTATAAAGATAGACCTTTTGTTAAAGCTATAGATATATATCCCTAATGTCCCTAATGTTCTTAATATCCCTATTTTTTATAAGCTTAGTAAAATTTAGTATAATTAATAATAATCTTTAAGACTAAGTAATAAAATAAATAATAAACTATTTATAAGACTTAAGGTTAAAGTTAAAGTTATACTTTATTTTTTAGTATATTTATATTAATTTTTATAATTTATAATAATATATTTTTATTATTATTTACTAAATAAGTACTTTAAAAAAGTAAAATAGTTAGTATTAAAAAGTAAGAATTAATAGGGACGCTCCTAGAATTAATATAGACGCTTTAGCCTTATAGATACTCTACTATTTACTGTTCTAATTAGTCTAAAAAAACAGTATATCCTTATAAAGGTAGTAAAGGTAATTATACTAATATAGCTCTTCTACTATTCTATTCTACTATTAACTAATTAACCTATATAGTTATAGGAAATAGGCTCTATAAGGGGGTCTTTTTATAGCTATAGGAAATAGACTTTATAAGAAAGGCCTTCTTTATAACTATAAAAAGAGCCCTCTTATTAAGCCTACTTTATAGCTATAAAAAAAGCCCCCTTATTAAGCCTACTTTTTATAGCTATAAAGGTTAGCCCTTTTACTAGGCCTACTTCTTATTACTATAAAGGTTACCCCTCTTACTAGGTCTATTTCCTATAGCTATAAAAATAACCCCTCTATTAAGCTTACTTTCTATAGCTATAAAGGTTAGCCCTCTTGCTAGGCCTATTTCTTATTTACCCTAAGAAAAGTAACTCTTTTTATATTTAAAATACCTACTACTTAGCTACTTTTTTATAATATAGCTATAAGGATTTATTATTACTACTAACTATTTTTTACTAACTCTATGTCCTCTAAACACTAGGCTAAAGTAGCTATTTACTTATATAATTCTCTATTATTCTTCTGCTACTAAGAATACTAGACTAGCTTCTTATTTATTACTAGGATAAGGTTAAAATCTAGCTTTAACTTAGTTAACTTTTCTCTTATATAGACCTAGCTACTATTAACTTATTTTTACTTCTAGATAAGTAACTTTACTTTTTACTACTTATACTTTAGCTTATACTAAGGGTATAGGTTTATCTAGTTAAGTAGCCTTCTCTAGGTAAAACTAGTTATAATAGGATAAGCTATACTATATTCTTTAGCCTACTGTAGAGGGATACTATAATCTTTAGATTAAGGATTTAGTAGTATAGATTAGAAGAAGATGTCTCTTAAAGATACTACTAGGGGTATACCTTTTACTTACTAAATATTATTAAATTAAGTATCTTTATAAAGATCTTATAGTAGTATAAGATACTAAGCTTAGTTAAAATAGTATAGTCTAGACTATATTCTCTAATAGAGGCTAAGAATAGTCTTTTACTAAAAAGTATTACCTTTTTTATTAGCTAGTATTACTTTTTAATTAGCGCTAGATATTTTAAAGAAAGTATTATCTAAAGTTTACTAAAGAGCTTAAAGTAAGTACTTATATACTTCTAGCTTCTAAGGACTTTATTTTTAGTATAAGCTTATCTAAAGTATAACTCCTAGTTACTAATTATATCTTATATAATATTAATAAGTTAATATAAGTAACTAAGACTATTTAGAAAATAGCCTTTAATATTATTATTACTTAACTCTATACTAAATATAATATAAACACTAAAGTTCTAGTATTTTTAGATAAAACAGTAAGCCTACTATACCCTTAAGGGTAAATATATTATATAAATATACTAAAAAATAAAGTATTAGTTAATAAACTTTTTATAAAGCTTAGTCTAGGCTTTATTAAAAATATACTTAGTCTTAGTAAAAATAACTAGCTTTTATATTATAAAGACTTTATAATATATATAAAGAAGTAGCTTATTTACTAGTATATTAATATAAGCCTAGTCTTTATTACTAAGCTAAGCTATTACTTATATTATTAGCTAATAGGCTTTATTATTAGACTTATTATTATTACTACTATAGGTATAATCTTTAAGCTACTTTTATTTAGCCTTAAGTATAATATTAAAGTTAATATAGTAAATATAAAGTTATTACTAGATACTAAAGAACTACTTATTTAGTATAGCCTTTATTTATTTATTATAGTCTATAATAATAATAGTAAGGTAATAAACTAAGTATTAGTCTATAAGTTAGTAAATACTTACTAAAAAAAACTAAAAACCTTAAGCTTTTTATTATTAATAAGGCTAAATATAGTATTATAAATAGACCTAAGGTAGGTTTATTTAGTAGCCTAAAAAAGTAAAAGTTTAAAGTAATTAGTATTATAAGTATTATTAAAACTAATTACTTTAAAAAATTACTTTTATATTTAAAGGTAGTAAAAAAAAGTCTAAATAAGGCTAATAAGGTAGTCTAGCTTATTATTTACTTACTTTACTATATATAAAATACTTTACTTATTAAATAACTTAATTAAAGCTATAGTTAGTATATACTTATTTAACTTCTTTTAGTTTATATAAGCTCTAGTGTTATAAATATTTTATTAAGTAAATAAAGAATCTAAGAACTACTTTTAAATAATAGTATATATATTATATACTTAAATACTAACTTATTAGCTTATTATATTAATTATATTTATTATAGGTTAAGTAAGCCTATAATAAAAAAGATATATAGAGGCTTTAAGGCTAAAGCTATAGTTATACTAACTATACTAGGGTTTTAAATAATAATATAATAGTTATTTATTTTCTTTTTAGGCTTTTATAATAATTTACTATTAATAACTATATTTCTAAGATATATACTATTAAATACTAGTATATATAGTTAGTGTACCTACCTACCTAACCTACCTAACCTACCCCCCTTGCCCTACTAGCGCCTAACGCCTAACGCCTAACCTACTTAACCTACTTACCTAACCTACTAACCTAAGCGCTAGCGCCTAAGGCCTAGCCTATATTAATCTTTATAGCTACAGTAGCACATACTACTATAGCTATAAAGGTCTAGTTAGCGTTACTGCGTCATGACCATCATGGCCATAAAGATTAGGGCAGCAGCGGCGTCATAATCCCCACGGCCGTAAAGGTCTAGTCAGCGGCAGCGTCACAATGCCTACAGCTATAAAGGTCAAGGTGGCAGCGTTGTAATCCCTACAGCTATAAAGGTCTAGTTGGCAGCGTTGTAATCCCTATAGCCATAAATGTCTAGTTAGCGGCGTAGTAATACCTATGGCTGTAAAGGTCTAGTTAGCGGCAGCGTTATAATACCTATGGCTATAAAGGTTAAGGTAGCAGCGTTGTAATCCCTATAGCTATAAAGGTCTAGTTAGTAGCATAGTAATCCCTATAGCTATAAAGGTCTAGTTAGTAGCAGCGTTGTAATACCTATAGCTATAAAGGCCTTATTAGTAGCGTTATAATACCTATAGCTATAAAGGTCTAGTTAGTAGCATTATAATCCCTATAGCTATAAAGGTCTAGTTAGTAGTATAGTAATCCCTATAGCTATAAAGGTCTAGTTAGTAGTAGTATTATAATACCTATAGCTATAAAGGCCTTATTAGTAGTATTATAATCCCTATAGCTATAAAGGTCTAGTTAGTAGTATTATAATCCCTATAGCTATAACTATTAAGGTACTAGCGTTATAATCCCTATAGCTATAAAGGTTAAAGTAGTAGTATTATAATCCCTATAGCTATAAAGGTTAAGGTAGTAGTGTTATAATCCCTATAGCTATAAAGGTCTAGTTAGTAGTGTTATAATCCCTATAGCTATAAAGGTTAAGGTAATAGTGTTATAATCCCTATAGCTATAAAGGTTAAGGTAGTAGTATTATAATCTCTATAGCTATAAAGGTCTAGTTAGTAGTATTATAATCCTTATAGCTATAACTTTCTAGTTAGTATTACTATATTATAATTACTATAGCTATAAAGATTAAGGTAGTAGTGCCTTAATCCCTATAACTATAAAGGTCTAGTTATTATAGTAGTATTATAATTCCTATAGCTATAAAGTTATAGTTAGCGTTACTACATTATAATCCCTATAGCTATAAAGATCTAATAGTTATAGTAGTATTATAATCCTTATAGCTATAAAGGTCTAGTTAGCGTTATAATCCTTATATCTCTAAAGGTCTAGTAGATATTACTACGTTATAATTTCTATAGCTATATAGGTCTAGTTAGCAGCATTATTATCCCCTTAGCTATAAAGGTCTTATTAGCGTTATAGTATTAATATTTCTATAGCTATAAGGGCTTTACTATTATTACTATATTATAATCTCTATAGCTATAAAGATTAAGGTAGCTATATTATAGTGTCCTAGGCCCTATAGCTACAAAGGTCTAATTAGTGCCACTGTATTAAGGCCTTCTATAGCTATAAAGTTCTAGTTAGTTATATTATAATCCCCTTAGCTATAAAGCTCTAGTTAGCGTAGCTACCTTATAGGCCTTATAGCTATAAAGGCCTAATTATTAAAGATATACTATAAGGTCTTATAGCTATAATATTCTAGGTTATTCTATAGGGATTTATAGCTATAAAGTCCTAGGTGTATTTACTACTATAGGTCCTTATACCTATAGCTATAATAGCCTATACCTTTGTCTCTTATAATAATAAGATTAATCCTATTATAGCTATAAAGACAAAAGCCTATAGCTAGCTTTATTACTCTTACTATTTATTAGCTATAAGGAGACCTTTTTTCTCCTTAAAATAGCTATCTCTTTCTCCTACTGTTTATAATATTATTTATAGCACCTTGTTATAGAATACTAACTGTTGTACCTATAGTGCTACCTCTTAGTTAGTAGATTATATACGCCTTACTTTATTAACCCTAATCTACTTTTTGCCCTAAAATATCCTTAGAAGCCCTTTAATATTAATAATACTCCTAATATTAATATCCTTATAGCCTACTAGTAGCCTAGGTGCTACTTTACCCTTAGTGCTACCTTTGCCTACAGTATCTTGCTTTCTACC